ATCAGCAGAAGATCCAAGTACTGGGTTTCTCACCGGAGAACGTGAGGGAGTACGCGGAGAAGGTCCTCTGTAAACAACGCGCTGAAATGCTGCTGGCAGAGCTGCAGAGCAAGCCGGATGTGTCATGTCTTATGGCAACTCCCATGTTTGCAGCCCTAACATGTGAGCTTTTCAAGAGCACAAATGTCGTGTGGAAGTGCAGCGCATCCCTGTACGAATCGTTACTGCGCCGAGTCGTAGAGCGTGCTGGCGGTGTGGTTTGCGAGTCGATTTCACTTGCACCCAGCAAAGTGGTCCAGTCGCTACAGGAACTGGGGCGTTTTGCGTTTCGCATGCTGCTGGTGAAAAGGATGGTGTTCAACACGTCCGACATCATCAACTCCCACTTGAGCAAGGATGCCATGAGCTTGGGTCTTCTGCAAACATGCCAGGGCACAATGTCTACGGACGCTCGGCAATACCGCTTCTGTCATCTGTCACTGCAGGAGTTCCTGGCGGCATGGTTTCAGGCAGAATGCGTGGTGCAAGACAGACATCACGCCATTGCACTGGTACGGCGACTGGGCGCGTACGATGGCCATATGGCAATGTTCTGGAAGTTTCTCATTGCTCTATGCCCGGAAGACGTGTCGCTGACCATCATGGAGGAGCTATGGCGTGTGCAGTGTGCGGATCCCATACCACTGGATCCTAGCGGTGAGGCTGACCAATGCAACGAACGCGCTAAGGAATTGGCTAGCGACGGGCAAGAGGAGTGGGCTTCAGACGCGACTACGGAGGCTGCCGAACATGCTGCTACTGCCGCTAGACGTGCTGCCACCGCCGCTAAGCTAGCCGAGGACATGCGCAACGACTCAAGTGTCCTGACTGGTGAAATGGAGATGGCAACGGTCCACGACCGACTTTGCCAGATACTGAAGGCTGAGCACATGGCAGTCCTCGCCGACATTCTCCTCATTCCTCGGCATGACCGTGGCAAGGGCCATGGTGGGCAACGTGTGCGCCGTTCCATGCCCATCAGCCGAGAGCCCACAGACGCGCTATTCCTCAAGACTCTCCTGACGGTGTGGATGGAGAACGGCAGTGTTGCAAATGGCACTGTGCTGCTGGAAGCGCTATCCCAGGTGGATGCCGAGCTGGCGCGCCCGTGCGAGAGTCTCCTTCATCCCGCTGCTATGCTGCTGAGTCGTGAATCCCTGCAAGCTGCTCCTTCTTGCATTGTAAGTCTAGATGTTGCTGCTGTTGCTGCTGCTGAATCTTCTCCTATACGTAGGTTGTTTGTTCATCTTGTTGTGGCATATCATGAGCATGCAGAGTATCACGGTGTGTCCTGCAACTGGACACACCCTTTCTTGCGTGCTATGCTTGCATCAAAGCTCAATCTCCGTTACGTTTCTCTTTCTTCTCATGAATGTGTTGCTCTCAGTTCTTTACTGTGTGGCTATACATGTAGTGATTTGGAGGAAGTTGACCTTGGCGGCGGTTGTGGCATTGGCGATGAGTCATTTCACAGCTTATCAGCAGGCTTACAGAGGTGTAGCCATGTACGTGTACTAGATCTATTCGTGAATGGTATTCATGATGGTCAGGCATTGTCCTCCGTGATTTCACCCATGTCTGCTAGTCTTGTGTATGTGCGTGTCGGTGGTAACCGTGTTGGTGTGAGTGGTTTTGTGTCGGTGTGCCGTGCACTTAGTCAGTGTAAGAATGTACACACTGTCTATGTCCAGTACATGTGTAGTGATGGTGCTGCACCGTTGTCTGTACTCTGTGATATGTTGGAGCAATGTACACAGCTGGTAGTGTTGTGTTTGAGTTGGAATGTGTTTGTGGGTAGTGTGGATGATGAATTGAGAGTCATTGAAGCAGTGAAGGTGTGTACACAGTTACGTAAACTGTCGGTGTATGACTGTGACTTGAGTGAGAATGTACGTTCTCAACTTGTCACTGTGTTCACAGAGAGGGAGTGTCGGAGTGGCTTGCGTGGTGTGTGAGTATGTAGACTGGTTGTGTGAGTGTAATGTGATTGTGACAATGTATGTTGTGTTGTAATTTGACCACACAGTCATGTAAACTCACTAAATTGTTGTAAATTCTTGAGACAATGTAAAGTTTTGCATTGTTTTGTTCCCCTGTATACCCCCTACCCCTAAACCCTGACCATCGATAGTTTTTTTTGCCTGCTTTTCTTCTTGTAGATATTATGTTTTTGCTTG